TCCTCTGGACACATTCCAGCTTGTCAATATCTCTCTGCAATTGTGGTGCCCAGAATTGGACACAATATTCCAAAATCTCCTCTTGGAGATGGATGGGGTGGCTGGAGGCATTTTGTGCCATATGTAAGCCAACTCAAGTCCCTTCAGGGAGATGGAGGCAGGGTACAAAATAAAGTTGTTGTTCTTGTTCTTGTTGTTCTTGTTGTTGTCGTCATCATCACCATCATTATCATCTTCACCTCAGAGAGGTAGCTGGCCAATTTAAGCCTAGAATTGGTCTTTTAAAGAATAGAAAATGCACAATAAATTGATTATGTTCAAGTCTTGTTAATGGCCCACGTAAGCTAAAACATGGTGATGATGCTTCCAGTGTTATCTAAAAGAGTGTCTGAGAACCTTTGGGAAACACCCATTTTGTATTTCGTTTGCAGAGGAGGCTGATCCTTTAATGGTTTCCTGAGAAGTCAGAGCATCTCCCAGTCTTCCATGCTGGCTCACTCATTTATTATGTTCTTAATTCTATAAACCCAGACATTTCCATAGGTACGTTGTGCATCTACACTGTAGAACAAATGCAGTTTGACACCACTTCTGCTGCCAGGGTTCAATGCTATAGAATCCCGGGTACTGTCATTTTCCAAGGTCTTTAGCCTTCTCTCCCCAACTACAACTCCCCAAATTCCATAGCACTGAGTCCTGTTAAAATGGAGTCAAACTGCATTTATTCTACAGTGTAGATGTGTCTGTAGGTAGAGATATAATCCAAGATCTTATATTTCAATTGCTACGTATATCGCCATTTGGGAATATGCACATTGATTGTGCTGCTGAATGCTTGGTCAAATGGCAATGCAGTGGGCATTAATATAAATGTATCTGAGTGCACAAATGAATATGGAGCAACTGAATGCACAACCAAATATGCCTTCAGATGGTTCAGATGGAAAGTGCTAACTCCTTTCGTAAGAAAGTTTACACTTTTAAAGTCTCCAATATGATTTCACCCTATTTCCAAGTTTCTTATCTCCTTCTGGGCTGCTTCTTCCATGGATTGCCTTTGACTTGCAACATGTGCTGCTACCTAGCTTGGTTTTAATGTGTTTAGACAGTAAATAATATTTTTGTCCTGTCTCACATTTGAAAATATTTCATTTTTACATGAATTTTGTATACATTATTCCATGATCTATACACTGCCATATAATGCAGTTTGGAACATCAGTATATGGTCAGTGTAGACTCATGTATGATAAGAAACAAATTCTTATCATGTATGATAAGAAACAAATTGGTATGATAAGAAACAAAGATGGCAGGGACCTAACAGAAGCTGAAGAGATCAAGAGAAGGTGGCGAGACTATACAGAAGATCTGTATAGGAAGGATAATAATATTGAGGATAGTTTTCACGGTGTGGTGAATGAATTAGAACCAGACATCCTGAGGAGTGAGGTTGAATGGGCCTTAAGAAGCATTGCTAACAACAAGGCAGCAGGAGACGACGGGATCCCAGCTGAACTGTTTAAAATCTTAAAAGATGATGCTGTCAAGGTGATGCATGCCATTTGCCAGCAAATATGGAAAACACAAGAATGGCCATCAGACTGGAAAAAATCAACTTATATCCCCATACCAAAAAAGGGAAATGCGAAAGACTGCTCAAACTTCCGTACAGTGGCCCTTATTTCTCATGCCAGTAAGGTAATGCTCACGATCCTGCAAGGAAGACTCCAGCAATACATGGAGCAAGAGCTGCCAGATGTTCAAGCTGGGTTTAGAAAAGGGAGAGGAACGAGAGACCAAATTGCCAATATCCGCTGGATAATAATGGAGAAAGGCAGGGAGTTTCAGAAAAACATCTATTCTGCTTCATTGACTATTCTAAAGCCTTTGACTGTGTGGATCATAATAAATTGTGGCAAGTTCTTGGTGGGATGGGCATCCCAAGCCACCTTGTCTCTCTCCTGAGGAATCTGTACTAGGACCAAGTAGCAACAGTCAGAACTGACCACGGAACAACAGACTGGTTCAAGATTGGGAAAGGCGTACGGCAAGGCTGCATCCTCTACCCAACCTTTTTAACTTGTATGCAGAACACATCATGCGATGTGCGGGGCTTGATGAATGCAAAGCTGGGGTGAAAATTGCTGGAAGAAACATTAACAACCTCAGATATGCAGATGACACCACTCTGATGGCCGAAAGCGAGGAGGAGCTGAGGAGCCTACTAATCAAGGTGAAAGAAGAAAGCGCAAAAGCCGGGTTGCAGCTAAACGTCAAAAAAACCAAGATTATGGCAACAAGAATGATTGACAACTGGAAAATAGAGGGAGCAACCGTGGAGGCCGTGACAGACTTTGTATTTCTAGGTGCAAAGATTACTGCAGATGCAGACTGTAGCCAGGAAATCAGAAGACGCTTACTTCTTGGGAGGAGAGCAATGTCCAATCTCGATAAAATAGTGAAGAGTAGAGACATCAGACTGGCAACAAAGATCCGCCTTGTCAAAGCCATGGTATTCCCTGTAGTAACCTACGGATGTGAGAGCTGGACCTTAGGGAAGGCTGAGCGAAGGAAGATCGATGCTTTTGAGCTGTGGTGTTGGAGGAAAGTTCTGAGAGTGCCTTGGACTGCGAGAAGATCCAACCAGTCCATCCTCCAGGAAATAAAGCCCGACTGCTCACTGGAGGGAAAGATACTAGAGACAAAGTTGAAGTACTTTGGCCACATCATGAGGAGACAGGCAAGCCTAGAGAAGACAATTATGCTGGGGAAAGTGGAAGGCAAAAGGAAGAGGGGCCGACCAAGGGAAAGATGGATGGATGGCATCCTTGAAGTGACTGGACTGACCTTGAAGGAGCTGGGGGTGGTAACGGCCGACAGGGAGCTCTGGCGTGGGCTGGTCCATGAGGTCACGAAGAGTCGGAGACGACTGAACGAATGAACAACAACAACAAGAGCCATGTGTTACAGTTTGACAATGTGTGCAGACCAGCAGAAGATTAGTCCTTTGTATATTCAAAAATGAGCAACACAAGTAGAAGAAATGAAAAACTTAAATTTTACTCTTGTGCAGTAGATTTTATGAAAAAACAGCTACTTCAACACAAATTTTCTAGTAATAATACAGTCATAGTTCCTCTGAAATATCAAACTCATGTATGGTCCTTGCATTTAATTCATGCAATGCTTTCTATCAGAAAATATTTCTTCTCCCAATTTTCATTTCTTGTTCATGGAGATGAGCATGGAAGACAGACTTGCCAGCGTCAAATAGATGCAACCCAGGAGCTTACACCGAGTAAGCTCAGGAGCAAACATTCAGTAAGCCCAAAGTCATATAACAGACACTCTCAAGTTATATCCCTTCGGGAGTTGCCCAAAACTTGTTGACCTTAATTACTCCAATTACTCAGCCTGTGGATTGTAATTAATCAGGGTGAATCTTTTTTCTCTTAATACACACATGGTAGTGATTCCATAGGAATTTAGCCATGTACCTTGATATAGTGTGCCATCTGGGCTACCTCATCTAACAGGATTTCCTGGCTATGAACCTCCTTTCTATCAGAGACCCACTCATTCTCAAAACTGGTCTTTCAAGCATCATTTAAATTTGTCTCTGTTTCTATAGATATTAAAAGAACAGGCAAATATGTAATTTGTTTTTGCTGCTTGTTTGTACTCCTTGTACTGTATTGTATTATATATTTGTAATGACGGATATTTGTTGTTTTAGACACTTGTAATTTATATTTATCAATGATTTTAGGTCTTTGTAATTTGTGAGTTCAATCATACATTTGTCTATAACTTTGCTAGCCTCCCTGAATGCAATGATGTCACATAAATCAAATAAATCATGACTTTTGTTTAGCACTACCAGATAATACAAAAAAGAGGAACACACATTTTTGGCACTTCCAATAACAGAGAATGCTTTTTCAGTGTCTGGGGAATTTATCCAATGCTAAGGACCTAAATTCTACATGTAAAAGGATGTAACTGCAAATACCAAAATCAAGACTGCTTCCATTTGTGTTCTATACAGAATTATAATAATTATTACAATGAAATATTAGTTTTGTGTCTTACCATTGTCATCAAAGCCGTGTGTGATTTCATGGCCGATGACCATGCCGATGCCACCAAAATTCAAGGATTTAGGCTGGGATGCACTAAAGAAAGGTGGTTGCAAAATTCCTGCAGGAAAGACTGGAAGAAGAGAAATGACACCATGGATGGAAGTTCAAGGCTGTGTATATTTGCAAAGTGAAGATACAAAACAACAGTACTAACCATTTTAGTAAAAGATTGGATCAGATGCCATGTTGCTGGACATGCAGATCAAGGGCATTTTAGCTTCCAAATTAACTTTGATATCTGCCCAGAGGAACAGAGGTCCTTGTGTCTGGTGTTTCAGTGTTGTCTCCTAGACCTTTTTTCCTGATTGCCATTCCACCAACAACTCTCCCCTTTCTTTCATCTTCCACTACAAAGGTCTCCTGACCTCTTAACCTAGACATGGGCAAACTTCAGCCCTCCAGGTGTTTTGAACTTCAACTCCCACAATTCCTAACAGCTTACCAGCTTTTAGGAATTGTGGAAGTTCAAAACATCTGGAGGTCCAAAGTTTGCCCATGCATGTCTTAATTCATTAACTATTTTTTTTCTGTCATCTTCTGCCATCTATCTTTCTGGAACTTCTCCTCCCCTTCACTCACAAATGGTTTTCCTAAAGCTTCAGATTGACTTTTCAGGCTCTGATAAACTGAACATGTTTTCCCATAATCACCCAATAATGAGAAGAACTGATCCAGATGTTACAAGCAACAGTTAGCTTGTCCAATCTTTGAATAAAATCTGTTAACTGCCTGTGGTATTGCAGCCTTGCAAAAACCAGAACAATGTCCTAGCTGGCTGCTTTGAGAACACAGGACAATAAACCCACATGCAGATATTTTTTAGTTAAGGCCGTTGGAATCCCTCCATATTGCAATATCTCCTTTCTCATTGTTTAACCAAAAATAAGCTATAATTGGCACACCCAGCTCACAGAGGAAAATAAAACAGGAAAAGATCATCACCTCAGGGAATAATCAAACTATATTGATTTCAGTTAAATTTCATCCTGTCTCCACCACATGTGATTCTGGAGAATAGCAGTACAAACAAAAGTAAAAACACTAATCTGCACACACACGTTGGCTATGCCTGTATTACCATTTGATGAATTGTTGTGCTTTGCATCACAGCAATTCAATGCATTGAAATGTTTTGATGCTAGCTGAGTTTGAAAAAGTACTACTTTAATTGATGGAATGTTTATTCTAAGCTACCTCGTAACAAACCAATGCTCGCTTATAATTTTTGTGAAAATTGAGCAATTTTTCGCTATGGGAGAGAAGATAATTATTCATTGGAGGCTTTTCTCAAATAGCAAAACACTTGCCCACATCAACACAGAAATAAATACAGTTGTGGCCAGGGAATTGCAACTCTTTCCCTGACTGGCTGCTCAAAGACTGTTAGGAAAAGAATCCTAAATTTTTTATCCCTTGAGCCTAACCGCAAAGATTTTTGCCATGGTATGTTTACACATTGAATGCAGGCACACTGGAATCGGCCTTTCGTTTCGTAAACTAATAAACAGTCCCCACTAATGTATTTCTTCATTTTGTCTTGCTTTTGCGTAGCACAAGATCTTGCTTCCTTTTCTTTTTCATCACAAAAAAACTTTTATTATAACCTAGAGTTTGCATTCTCATTTGAAACTCAAATATGCAATTAATGTTCTCTGTTGTATAATTAACTGTTGCAGCTCCCCTCTCCAAATGTAATCCTTCATCACAGGGATTATAGTTAGTATGACTTTGCCATGTTTCTGTTGAGCTTGTTTTCAGTTAACTAGGACTGCAAACACAAAATTCTGCTTGGTTTTCCTACATGCATAATTCTGAAATGATAGGTTTTCAGGAAAACATTTTTGTTTATGTTTAGCCCTTCTCATCAGTGTTGATCTGATATGGTCTTGACCCCCTGTAGAACTGGAGCTCAGAAAAATATAGCTTGTTTGGACTAAAATTCCTACAATCCCATAACCATGGTTCTCTCATGTGAAATATATACTAAGCCAGGGTGGTATAGGGGCTTAATGTTAGACCAGAGCTTCATTGCAGGGGGTTGAACTGGATGGCCCTTGAGTCTCTTCCAACTTTATGTTTCTGTGACTGGGGCGACCCAAGTTTCATTGCTCACATACTATCCTTGAACTCCTTCTCACCCTAAATTATGCTGCAGGGTTATGGTTGTGAGGACAGACATGCACACTACCTGTACTGAAGGCACAGATATGTATGATAAATAAAATAAACAAATAATAAATAGTACATTATAGTTAAAACAAATTGCTATTCTTAATAGCTGAGATGCACAGGGGTGATTTATTTCTTGTTGGGGTACTTTGATTGTCATTTTCCTGCATGGCAAAGGTTTACTTGGTTGGTCCATGTGGTCTCTTCCAATGCTATGATTGTATGATTCTCAAATAGTTATAGTTTTATAGTTCTTCATAAAAGAGCTCAGCTTACCAATCTGATTTCTGTTTGCCGAATAAAAGGCATTCACTACAGCTGCTCCACTTATCCACCTACAGAAAATTGAGAAACATATTAAAGTGTTAATAAAATTATCAGTGGGATGAGAAAACTTAATGACTTTGAATTACTCTGATACTGGATAGCCAAAGTAGCATTTTAAATACATGTTATAATGAATCCCATGTACCAGCACATATCTTGTGTTCAAGAAGCACTCAAATGAAACAGTGAAGTGCAAAAGTACATGCAAAACCAGCTGGGTGTATTACACTTTCTCATTTGATGAGTAGCTATGCTTCTTTGTCACCTCAGCTGGGAAGATGGTGTGGCAGTGTGATGGAAGAGTGTATTGCAACCTCCATTAACTCTACTATTAGTTTTTTCTCTGTGTCCCCTGCTTATATGTCCATGTCACATCTCATTCATTATGGGGGGTCAAGCATTACAACACCATTATTTATTTACTGAATAAATATCATATTCACAGGTCATTTTAGGAACCTCTTAAGAACAAATAGTCTGTCTCTGTAGCTTGGACAGACAGATGCCTTTTGGTAGATCACAAGGAGAGTAGAATTATTATAAGTATTTCCTGGTGCTTGTTCATAGCATTTGGCTATTAGAGATCTATTGCCTCAGAACATGGAGGTTGAATTTAGCTGGTAATCTCTGAAAGACCAATCCTCTATGACATTGTTGAATCCCACTTTGACCTAACCATACTGCCTTTTAGGGTTGTGTGATTGATAAAAAAATGTTTCAAAACTCATTATAAAATTAGGGGGCACTGATGCTTTGTTTCTAAAGTGTTTCTAAAGTATCATTAGTAGAAATTTAGTTACTATAACGGGAATAACAAAACTTTGTTATTTTTTTCATTAAGTAATTGAACAAGCGGGGAAACTTAGTTTTAGAGCTATCATGATGAAACTTGCTATAATATAATTGTACCACACATTTTCCACTATTAGCCCACCAAATTTCAGAAAGTAACACTCATCCACTAAGTTTTGGGGAATTTTTTTTTTTTACAAACAATATATATATTTCAAAAAACTACAAGACCTATCTACTTGAATTTTATATACAATGCACAAGACAACCGGGCATTGATCCTCATAATTTTCAGAAAGATTCACATGTCTACTGATTTTTATGTATTTGTAAAATTGTACACAAAAACAGTCACAACAGCAATCCCCTTGAATATCTGTCTAACAAGTGTGTATATGACACACAATTAACCACATAACTTCAACTTAGCACAGATTTATACTATTACATACTTAAGTCCTCTTTGCAGATTTGATAATTTTATTTCTTATTATTAGACTTATTCTAAACAGCTGGCTGCTGTAGCCCTCATTTGAACTTTCTGATGCTGAGCACTGCATTCTGGGAAATGTAGTTTAGGGCACAGTCTTTTGAATTCTCTGCCTTCCCAAACTACATTTCCCAGAATGCTGTGTTCTCAATCTCCCGCCCAACTCTGCTAGTCCCATCCCCAGCTGCCCTTCCTTTTGGCAACCAGCAAAAAAAAGCAGCCTGGGTCTTAAGTTAAACACTAGCAATGGCCCTTTTGCCAATGTTGCTTAAAGCTTATACTGAAAATTCAGCCTTTGAGAGGCATCCGAATGTTACAGAATCTTAGCAAAAATTATTGGTGAGTGTTTCAATTCTAAAATTTTTCTCCCCCTTTCCCACATGTTTCTAATATTGATTTGTATGCATGATTTAACAAATTTGATCTGACTTATGAGGATTAACGATAATTTTGCACAGCCCTAGTGCCTTCCATAATTCCTGATAATTAGTCGTGCTATTTGGCGCTAATGGTGTTTATAATTCAAATCCCACCTATCCTCTATGAAATGACTTCAGACTTATTTTATAATGTTCCAGTTGGTGGTATTCCTCTTTATTAGCACTGCAAAATTCAGTTCTAATAGTTTCCGCTGCAAAAGCATAAACAAGTTTGGGTATATCATTATACCTTGACCATCAATCCTTTTTAAAGGATTGGTGAGAAAGCTTCAGTGAAGACAACTTTTCCCCATAACTCTTCCAAGAGTGACTTTTTCTTCTCAGAGGTAGATTTTTCTCACTTCCTGTTGTCTAACCCCCATTTTTAACTATGAGTCATTTGTAAGTCAGATGTTTGAAAGTCGGGGACTCCATCCATTCTAAAATCAAGTCTATGTTTAGCAATACAACTAGATATCCACATATCTCTTTTCTTTATTTCCTTACCACCCATAAGAATCACAAAAGTGATACAAATTTCCACAATAAGACTCTGTTTGCTTTGGTCAGAAATCCTGCCCCAATTAGATTAAGAGAAATATTATGTGCATCTTGGCTCAAAGAAACAGACACACTGAAGGAAAGTACTGTAAAAGGATGAATGAACTTCAGCAATGTCAACGTCAAAGAGAATAAGCTCCTAATATAATTGATGACAATATCAGAAAGGTAAACATTGTTTTGAAATAAAATCTTCTCCACAAAAGACAAGAATCAAGTGACAACCAACAATGTATTCCTTTTGTTGTATATTTCCATCTCCCAATTATGAAAGGGCGATTAGAGAAAGCTAATAATTGCTAACTAATTACAAACCACTTATTACTGCTACCAGCAAGCTTCCAGCTATAGCTTTCCACTAGCCATAAAATCTACCGAGATTAATGATAAAAGTTGTCTTAAAAACACCACTTAGCAATCCAGGATATTACCCATGTGATTCAAAGGGCTGCATCATCCAAAAGTACCTTAAACAGACTGTCTCTTTTAGGAGCACAGTGACTGACAGGACCTACAACATTAAACAATGTATCCCCTGCCAATTCTGCAATTTTATTCATGTGATTGATTGCAGGCATATGGCCTGTCACCTGCAATATCTAGACAATATGTTTAGGAACATTAAGTCTACAATCCTGACCAGAATGCTAGATTAACCAAAAGTAAGGCATTTCAAGCTCTAAATATCACAGTATCTCTTAATTTTTCTATTATTTATTCGTTTGTTTGTTTGTTTAGGTACCGAGGTGTCTTCTCCTTCAGACATTTTGTACAAAAGCAAATAACTGTGGATCTATATGCTTAAGATGCTAAGACTCTAACACCACATGGCCACAACTGAGAGGATAAGATTATCATCCACTAAAGAAAACTGGAAACAGAGCATAAACTGCCACCTTTATGGAGCTGGATTTCCTCTATCATAACTGAAGAAGGCAGAAGCCAAAACATTTTGCTTATATTTTCAATCCTGTTTGTCAGTTGCTTCACGTAATACATAAAAATCATAAGTGTGTGCATGAGTATGTGTATGAGAGAAGTGTGATGCTGTGAAGCTGTCATGCTTAAGACATATCCTCAACCAAAGGGGCTCACTTGAAAATGCAATGCTACTTGGAAAAGTAGCAGTAATAAAAGAGGAAGATCACATTACAAGTAAATTGATTGCATCAAGGATGTTATTTTCTAATTCTGCATCATCTGAGCAGAGCAGCTAATGATTAAGGCTCTTGGAGATCTCTCATTCATAGGCTGCCATAAGGTGAAGTCAATCGTAAGTATCAGCAACCAATAAAAGAACACAACACACAGAACTTAAATACATACTCTTCTTTGTCGACCTTTTCTCTAAGCTTCTTTAGCCTTTCCTTTTGGGCAAACTTTAAGTTCTCAACCATGTTTTCAAAATATTCTTCTTCTTTGTAGTTCAGCTTTGAGAAAAGACAGAGAAATCACAGTACAGTTTGTGTAAGACTTTGTGTAAAGGACAGAGCGAGCTTGTGCTGCAGGTGGGTGACCTACACGCCTGAGAGGAATCTAAAATTTCGCTTATTTCTTTCTCACATGTGATGAGATGCTGAGGATTTATACTTTTAATCAGTTTTATTATTTCATCTAATGTTATTTTTGCTAAATGTTTTAATGTTATTGGGGACAGTGAATTGTGCCGCTTGTTAACTGCCCTGAGTCGCCCTCAGGCTGAAAAAGGCGGTATATAAATATGTAACTAAATAAACATTCAAAACCTTTTCTCCCACTGGGTAGGATGATGAGAGTTCTTGCACATTTTTCAGTGATTGTTCACTTCCAGATTGTTTCGGGTTTGCTGACAAAGTAATTGCTGATAGCTTATTTTCAATGAAATAGATGTAGCCTAAATTGCCATAGAAGCGGAACTGATTTTGCAGAAGATAACAATATTTATAGCACTTTGTCCTAGTGTGTTCATTGTTTGTATAGAGCTTAAATACTCTCACCTATACATAGCTATCTTTAATTTATATATCACAAAGGTTTTTTCTTGAATTCTTGCTACTAAGACAAGATAAGATAATGTGACATCATCAGATTTTCAGAGCATTCAGTAAGATTGCTGGGACCCAGATAGACTAGATTTTAAAGACTGCCAATTAATAATTAAATCATCCTGGTTTTATATTTCGCATGCTGGAGACTCTGATCATGACTTCTCTCTACATATATCTGGCCAATCTCTTCTGGGACTGTCAAAATATTTCCTTAATTCTCATAGTAATCCAACTATTACTTTGGATCTGCTTGCTCAACAAAATGACTTGCAAGTATGTTAAACCAATTAACAAATGAAGGACAACATGAGATAATGCAATAAGCACTGGCTAATTTAAAAGGAATGGTAACTATTCATCTGAAAAGGGCATTAGGGATTAAGTTACCTAGTAAATCTGTAAATCACCAGTAGTTAATTATCATTTTTCAGAAAAAAGTAAATTATGAGGTCATTGTCATTTTATTTATACTATATGAACTCTATATCCACGGAACTGATATCCACAATTTCATTTATCCACATTTGACAAAATATGTCATCTTTAGGTATTTCCTAGGCCTTTCAACATGATTCAACAGTATTGTTTGGGCCAAAGGGCATTAATTTCAATAGCAATTACTTTTGTCTTCAATTACATTCCTCGCCTATTAATGGAATATTTTACTAGACATATCACTAAAAATACCCCTTGTGTAGTAGACTTCACAAGCTATCACTCATTCACTGGTGTTTCTTTATTGTGTTTGTGTTACCCCTATAAGTTCTGAACAAACTGGCATTGTCAGTGACAATAATTTGGGGGTTAAAAAGGTAGAAATAGCTGCCTGCAGATTCCTTATAAGATAAAATGTTTTTATCTTAAAATGTAATTTGAAGAGAACCTGAGATTGGCATGTTTCTTCTTCTGTGTTTTAGGGGAATGCAAATAACAATGGCAATGAAAAATCATGATGGATTGGGCTCAAATGTAGGCACACACCCTCAAAAGTTGGGATAGAGTTCTTCATCCCATCCTCCACATGACAATCTCTTCAACACCTCAGAGAAGGTAAGGGGAACCCCTTTGAGTTAGGTCGTAATGTGGGGAGAAGGTGGTGGCCTTGTTAAATTGTACAAAGGCACATATGACCTGCTGGTATTTTCCAACTTGCTACCCACCAAACATGTTGGGACTACAGTGCTCACTATCCCAGGTAACAGCTGGGAATGACGAATTTGAGAATTCAACACAACTGTTAGGATGGGAGATGCTGATTTCAATCTTATACTTTTGCTGTTGATTACAATCTGTTTTTAGATGTACTTACATCCTTGTATTCTGCATTCAGCTTTGCAGTGTCTGTTATGATCTCATTAGGGTAGCCAATTCTTTCTTTAATTGCTAGAGCCTAGGAAAAAAGAAGTATGATGTATACTGTACTTGCACTGTAAATCAGAACATTATGAAGTTGGTCAAAAATCATTCAAACATTTACAGAATTACTTTTTCAATCTGTTTCAATCTAGATTTTACATCTAGTAGTTAGGCTTCAGAGTAACAGATATTTCCTATTTGATGGCAGTTTAATGGTTTTTTTCAAAGCAGCAAGAAATCATGGACTCCTTGAAAATCCCTTTTGACATGTTCAATATATAAATGCCACAACAAATTTAACAGCGCTGCCAATTCAGTTAACATTTGTGACTCTTCCCCCCAACTCGCTTTCTCTCTTCCTCTCCTCTGCTTTAACACACACATTTAACAAAATCCAGGCAAAAATTAAGCTCTTAAGTTTCACCGATAAGTGAGAATTGACCTGAAGGCACTCAACAATAAGAACTAGCCATGCTGGTTTATAAAATACGTAATCTAATATAGCTGAGAAATGCCGTTAGTCAGTAGGTTACATTTATATTTTTGCCTTTCTTCCAGGGAATTCAAAGCAGCATGAATAGTACTTCCCATTTTAATCTTCTCTGCAGCCTCACGAGACAAGTCATGCTGATAGAGAGTAATTTATCCACCGCTGGCTTGTGTGTGTGTGTGTGTGTGTGTGTGTGTGTGTATTTAACTCTGAGGGAATTTGAACTTGGGTCTTGCAAGTAAAAATCCAATCTTTGCATCACTACAACACACTAATCACCATGTATAGACTGGCATTTCGTTTAAGTTTTAAAGGAATCCCTTTAATTGAAAACACCCTCTTGACTAGCCATTGTACTAAATAAAAAGCTCCAAGGCAATGGCATTTGTACACTGAGAAAAGTAAGCACTCAAGTGTACACTGTGCTCAGTTATTCAGCAGTAAATGTTTACCAGTTTCAGTCAGGTAGAAAAACGTTGATCACCATGAACGATCCCAGATGTTCTCTGAAGAATGCTGCATTTGTTTCCACCTCATAAGTGGTCCTTTGTAATCAATTCTTTCTGCAATTATGTTCTTCCCATTCAAATTTCAGATTAAGGAAGCACTTGCTTTCCTCCAAAATGCAAAAACGCCTCTTTAAAATACTTGCCTTTTCTTCTGCTTTCTTTTTGGTTTCTGCATCCATCCAAGTGAGTTCTTCCAGTGTATGTATAAAAACTTCACGGATTTGTGTAATCATATCTTGAACCTTGGGATAGGCAAAATACAACAAAGTTAAATCAGTGAAACAATAGATCTTTTCCTGGGAGGTAAACTACATTGAATTAAAGGGGACTTACGTTTGAGTGGGTTATATTGATATGCCCACATACACACCAAACTGCCTAGTTAAATATTTAGATTTCTTGACATGCTATAACCTGGCATTTACTCTTTATTATATTCCTGTTGTGTTGTTAACTATTTGTATCCCACACTTGATTATAAGATTTAGGGTGGCACACAACACCATCATTTCCGATTAAAAACATAATTTAAACAAGTTTTTAAAATATTAAACAAACAACAGTTTAATATTAAAACATTAAAAACAATGTATGGTATAAATACAATGTAGAGTAAATTAGTCCTTCATGGCTTTAATAAAAAGCCATGTTTTTACTTGACCCTAGAAAGAAAGCCATGTTGGCATCAGTCAGATCTCCTGGGGGAGGGGTGGATTCCATAACTGAACAGCTATATTTATTACATTTTTTTCCAAAAGTTCAATTTCAAGTCATCCAAGTTGCTAAGCCTATCATAGTTTACCAATAATTACCATTGCTACTGGAAATACTTTTGTACCATCAAATCAAAATAATGGTACTAGTGTATCAAAGCTTGGGAAAGTTTACCTTTTTGACTGAAGCCAGTGTGGCTCAAGTCTGGCCACACTGGCTATATCAGTGGTTCCTAACCTGTGGGTCCCCAGATGTTTTGGACTTCATCTCCCAGAAATCCTAACAGCTGATAAACTGGCTGGGATTTTTGGAAGTTGTAAGCCAAAACACCTGGGGACCCATAGGTTGTGAACTACTGGGCTAGATCAATGGTGTCAAATATGTGACCCTCCAGGTGTTTTGGACTTCAGCTCCCAGAATTTCAGGCCATTTGACAAGCTGGCTTGAGCTTCTGGGAATTGGAGGCCCAAACATCTGAAGAGCTATAAATTTGACACCTCTGAGCTTGGAATTCTGGGAGCCACAATCCAAAAAACAAAAGGAAATGCCTCACTAAATTTTCTGTGTCCTGAGGAATATGTATATGCTACTGGCTTATACTGATTTTCATGCCAATATAAATCTTATGAGTTCCATCAAAGAATCCTGCGCATGGAAGTATTGTGAGGTTGATGATGTGGACCTAATCTCTACCTTCCACTTAACAGCTTCTACAGTCTCTGGCAGGAAGGCATGACTGAGTATGCAGTTTAAGGTCCAAGACCGGATATGATGGCCATCTTCTCAGTTATGCAAATGGAAATCCCGAGGAAGCTTCACTAACTTATTTCAAGGCAGTCTCTCATTGGTCTAGTTTTTAAAACTACCCAGGCTTCCTGTGGCCATAAAAGAACAACCAGAAAAAAGGATTCATAGAATTAGCATCACAGTCCTCTACTGCCTTGCAAGTCTCCTTTGAGAAAATATGTCAGTCTTCTGAAGTGGCTTCATTTTTCATCAGAGACTAGGGAAAACTGCAGACTTCTGAACAATAAAAGAATCTTCCATATGATCAAAAGCTTTGTATGCAACTGAGTGCACATATGAAGCTGAAAATACTATGTGCTAGCAAATGAAGATATTTTCTTTGTGGCTGGACACACAAGCAGTGAATGTGTGCCCACAAAGGGATTTTAGCCTCTGACTCAATATCTAACTGACCAAGTGGTTGGTGGGATTAGTGTGGTTCAGAGTGGGTCACAGTGACCTTTCAGAGATCCCTTATGGATTTGTCATTTTGGCTCTAAGACTGGGATTTGGAGAGGATCTGGTAGGACTGCTGGACACAATTTTTGTGGTTCTGGCAGAAGGGTGTCCTGCTTTATTGAAGAGATGTTTATCAGCAGAAGATCTCTTCTGGGAAAAGTAAATATTTTGGGGAAAAGGTTTGCCTGCCCCACATGCATGTGTGGATTTCTTACACATTGGGCTTTGGTAGTTGCAGTTGGGGTTAAATATACAGGGGGTGAGGGTTTTAGATGCCAGGAATGGTCATTTAAGCTGTCTCTCTTGCAAAATCCAGTGAAGGGGGAGTAAACTTGCTACTGAAGTTATTAATCCTGAAATCCAGTTGCTGCTTAACTTGTGCACATGAGTAAATAAACCATATGTATCAAAGAAACCATTAATCATACTAAAGGGCAGACTGGGGATTAAAATAGATATCTTTAACCCATTTTGGAAGAGATGCTTCCCAAACTAGTGATATATATATATCTGTGTTATAGAATCTGAACTCACCTATGTATTTAGTGCGCTTTAGGTTGGAAGGAAAACACTGGATTAATCTGCACATCGACTTGCCATAGCACATATCTCAGATGAAATCCCACTTTGGGAAGAAAATGAATTGATCTTTGGGACCAGTGTCCAATTTGACCCTCAATGTGAACCCAGGATAAAATATAAATTGGCCCCAACACTCATGATTGAGTGGTGTATGGGAGCATTGTGGGTGTAACTTACACACCTAATAGCAAGCCTGAATGCAGATGACAATAGCAGATGCTTTGTGGAAGATAAACTGTTTGCATCCAATAGTCCACTCATAATCCATTTAACTGCAGATTTGCAGATGTAGCACCAGATGGGCATATCTACCACTCTGTTTATGAAGACCCTTCTGTAAATATACCACTTCCCATTGACCATCTGTCAGCAAGAAGAAGACAGTGTCACTGGCTACATAACCAGCATTAGTTCTTTCATGGATCTGCAGATCTAACACAGATTCTTATTCTTATTTGGATATTCCTTTATTGAAACAGGCCATATTCTTACAAAACGGATTTATGGGTGCAGACCAAATGGGCTACTCTGTTTATTGAAATCCACTCCTGCTTGTGGGAGTAAATAATATCCCATCTGTGATTATCCATTAGTTCAGGAGGAAGAAGACAGAATTGCTGGGTGTTTTTCCCAGATATACAGATTCTGCACAGCGGTGCTTAGCTGCTGGTGTACAGTAACAGTGAGAGCACATTATTCTTATTTCTACATTTCCTTATTGAAACAGGCTTGGTCACATAAAAAAGAATGGAAAACTACAATGTTTGTTTCATAGCTAATGTCAAACAACAGTTAAATAAGCAATTGACAAGTCATTTTAAAATCTATCTGATGATGCAAGAAACTGTTTATGTTGATTCACACATTGCATTTTTCTCTCTCCCCAGGTTAGCAATGTTAATCAAATTGAGCTGTTCTTCTGTAATCTCCTGTTCTTTAACACCTTCATTCTACAACATGCAAGGACTTCTAATCTACATCATTAGCTAATAACTTGGCTTATTGTCCTGGAAGAGCTATAAAATCTTATCCCCAGTCTGGCAGCCAAAAGGAGTTGATTTCTTCCAGTCTGTTAAATCTAATTTTCAAAACTTCACTGTATAAGGTTTTCCTACTCCTCCTCTCCTCTCCCTTTTTTAAAAATAGGAACTCATTTTTTTTACCATTAATACATGCCAAATAAACAGTCTTTCCCTCCCAAAAACTTCATTTCTGCTGGCCAACCATTGCAATAGCAAAACAGTGAGATGTATTTAGGACAACAGCTACATATCACTTGGTGCTTTGTAAACACAACCCCAACATTGCACCAGACTATCAACATGTGTAGTTGATATTGCAACAGCCTTGGTCATTGTTATCACCAGAGGTGTGTAAATAGTTCTACAAAAAACAAAAAAAAAACACAAAAAAACAACAACCCAAGATATTTAAAATGTATTTACTGAATTCTGTGTTTAGTCCCCACTAGAGCAGATACATTGAACCAATGGATTGAATGATGTATTTAATTGATCAGTTTGGTCACCCTTCTCTGGACACAATCCAGTTTGTCAATATCACATATTACATAGGAAATCCTTGAACAAGTTTGTGCCCCAGATGGTTATTACAGAAACCACAAAGCATTTATGCACATTAAGGGTTTTCTTTGCATGTTTCCGTGGGAGTTTGCTGCTTGGCTGCTGCAGTTTGGGGTTAGCTTCAAACTGCATTAAATAGTTAGTGCAGATGGGTTACCCGAGTACCTTCCTGCTACACTCAAGCCAAACAGTAGTTGCTTCTTGAACCCCTTACTGAGATGGTGTGAATAGAAAAATAGAATGAAAAATGGAGAGCAGAGAAGTTTGTTGGCATAGTAAAAGCAGCACAGATTGATACATTTGACCACCAAAATGAAAATAATAAGGAAAAGGAAAGCTCACCAAAGGAAGTCATCCCTGGATACATTTTGGAAGATATCTTCTTGTGGATTAAAAATGCTTTTCATATTTATGAAAGGTTTACACAACCTTCTTTTTTTGTGTTGCAGGAGCCTATCCCTATTCAGTTTTATTTCGGTCTCTGCATCAAGTCTGCTGTTAAAGCAGTGATGCCCAGGAACACATCTACTGTGTAAATGGAGACATCTTCAATGGAACTTGAGCAGCAGGCAATATAGTTGAATTCTACTTCCTTCTTGGAGAATGCTGTTATATACAGTGTTATATACCTAGACTTCTCCTACAAAGATTTTTTTCCAGGGATTTCCTTTCCTTCATAGTTCCTGACGTATTCCTAAAATCTGACCCCAAGTTTCCTCCATCATCTGAGAGCAGATCTGGGAGGGAACCTGCAGCATGAGAGGAAATCTGCTCTATTGGCAGCAAGCAAAGGTAGAATCGGATCTAGAACAGAGATATGATAAAATGTGTATATTCGTGGATGTTTTTCAGATCCACATCTCTTTCTATTGTCCATTGTTGGTCTACCTTACACTGGAGATGAAGGCTACAACAGACTACAGGGAAGAAGAACAAGGCTAACCTGGAATTATTCAGTCATGGTATTCCTGATTCAAATGGGTCAATTCTTGCCTTTCCGCTTCTAATCATAGTGGATAATGCTAGACTATAGAAGGTAAATCTCCATGTTTTCTTATCAAAAGAGTCATTGGGCATTCAATATTCTCAAGCTAGGATCTACTCAAATAAATAGCATGCATGATTATATGAGAATCTTACCATTTTCTTACTTTCTCCAGCAAATGCTTCTGTTACGTATAGTCTCCCCACAGCATTTTCCAGATTGCCATTGACATAATTTGCACAACGTCGCCAAACAGCAGTGTCCGATGTTGTACCATACAGCACCTGATAAGCATGATCATTAGAGAACTTAAGGACACATTTGATTGCGTTTGGGAATGAGGAACTCTTTCCAGAAGTCTCATCTGACATGGCCTGGGGTCATCCACTATCAGAGGTATTTTATGAGCTATAGTTAGAACATTTGATAAGTGAGCACATGTGAACCTCTTTCCAATTCCTCTTTATATGTTTCAAATACTCCTTGTTTTAATAATCTGAAAACTACGAAGCACAGAGTATCTGATTCAGCATGGTAAAGATAAGCATCTATGTTTTTCTTGTGAAAGCACAGTTTCAGGAGAACACATAAATGCCCAGAGGACATCATTCATTCTAAGCTGTAACTTACCCATCCCAACTAATAGGAGCACTCCTTCTAAGGGAAGAAATAACCTCATAAATATAAAAGTGATCCAAAGCCTTGACAGAAGAACTGATGCTGCCTGAGATCTTGCTGCTTTATACTTCAACCACAGGGGAAAATAAGGCTGAACAAGCATTGCAGCTTTACAGTGGTCTACTGCTGTTGCACAAGGGCCCGCATTTTCTTGGAGATTGGACAAACACTATGTCACTTATATAAATCATTGTAAAAGCCTATGAGATTTCTTAGTGATTGGTGTGAAGTTGGATGGACTGTTGTACATTGGAAGAACACATGGCAACAGTGGGAACCTACACTGCAGCATGGCTTTTTAAATTATTACATGCTATCTAATCAACTTCAATTTATCAATGATAGATCTCCAGACCCAGGGCCATGGCTTATTTGATTGAATCCATCCACTTGTAATGAGTCTTCCTGTGCTGAAATCATCTGGGAGAACTGGCCCACTAAGACTTCTGCAACATTGAGCCTGCTTAGGAATCATCACAAAGAAATGTACTAAGAAATATTAAGGCAATGATTGCTGTTGAGCACTTTCAGGAATAAGAAAAGCAGTCTGCAATCTATCTTGTACATTGCGTTGTTGAAGGCTTTCATGGCTGCAATCATTGGGTTGCTGTGAGTTTTCTGGGCTGTATGGCCATGTTCCACAAGCTTTTTCTTCCTGATGTTTCATCCACATCTATCTTGTACACAGTTATTTCAGAGTAAGTTCCACTGAACATCCGGAGGGCACTTTTAAGTACATATTGTCTTCAGCTTTAAGGATGTTTAAATAATAGTGGATGAGAAAAGCAATGCACCCTCCCCATTTAAAATGAGTAACATTCTACACAGTAGTCTTGACCTCCATGCATATTTAAAACAACTCTGACCTCCCTGCCAAAACGTCAGCTTTCTAAGATCTGGACAGACTTGCTCTTTTGTCCTTGGCTCAGACTGTTACAAATGGATGCACCTCTATACTATATTAACACATCAGGAAGAAAAGCTAAATCTTTTCTGATGTGTTGTTTTAGACTAAGAGATAGAGCTCAAAATTTCAACTACTTTACACTTTCCTTTTACATTATTTATATGATGATTTGGTTGCAAGGAGACTATGCCAAAGCAAATCAAACTATGTAGAGATATAATGGCTCTTTATCCTCTGGAAAGTGGATAGAAGAACCTGGGGCCCATTCACACTACATGATCGCAGTGCTATGATTCCACTTTAACTGCCATGGTTTCATCCTTCGGGATAATAGGATTGGCGGTACAAGGAAGAGAGCTTCAACATACTACAAGCTTCAGGATTCCATAGGCTGGAACTCTAGCAGATAAAGGGGAATAAAACAACTATAATTAGGTAGTTTGAATGTTCCCTTAATGCCATCCAGATGTGTTAGACTACGACTTCCATGATTCCTGGATAGTACTTCTGGCCAGGGATGATGTGAGTTATAGTCCTTTGCAACTGGATTGAATCAAATTGTGTGTGTGTGATACTGCAGTACACTTTAAATATATGAGGCCTTTATTATATTTTTGTGACCTTCGGTATATTCCGAGAATTACTGTCACAGTGTGCACGTTGGCTCTTAGAATGTAATAAATGTCAGACACTGTGTCATCTTTATTAATTTATTAATTAAAATATTTATATCCTGTAACCAAATACTTAGGAAAGAATTCTCATGGTTATGCAGCTATGTAAACATTGAGTTGTTGTAACTCAAAGCTTACAGCACTCTCTTCAGATGGTGATTTAGAAAAGTGCGCTAGCATGTATGAAGAAATGTTGTTGTTCCCTGAACCTTCTTAGTATTTGACTGAAATACATCTGTGTATCTTTCTTTACTACTCCCAGTTATCTTAACCCATGTCTAAAGTTGTCTAACTAATCATTTATGGAATTCCACCCTTTGGACAGAATGAAAGGCACTGCAAAATAACAGGTTGTTTCCAATCCTAATAAGTGCATAGAGAATGAGGAAGAGGAGAAAGATCTACAAGAAATGTTATCAGGAAAGTTAGAAAAGGACAGTCTGCTGCTATGCTAGCTCCACTGAAAATTGTTTTGTTTCCCTGTCGTTGCTACATTTCTCTCGTTTACTGCTGCAGAGGAATATCTGTGTGGAACAGAGCCAACCTTTGATTCCTGGATTTGCTTTCTCATCTCCACAAGTCCAGCTATTGCCCCTGCTTTGAATCAAAGACAATATAGGTTGCAACCCAGCCTGCATCGCTGGGGAATATTAAATTCATGGGATTATGTTTTGTTCAATGACACCTTGTATTTGGTATACAATATTATGTCAGATTTGGAGTTGTTTTATGTTGTATTTATGCCTTTTTTCAGTTGACTTGCATACCTTTTATTTAAAAGGGAAGCTGGATTGGAGAGACCTAAAAAATTAAAATCCTACTGTATGTTTAAGTAGCATTAACTTTCAGTGAGTAACAATGTAAGTCTTTGCTAATTTCAGTCTCAAAATCTCAAAGCATTTTTCCCTACTGGGAAAAGCATTTTTTTGTAGCTAATCAGTCCAAAGTGTGCATTTTATGAGCTGGAAACTTTATCTTATGCTCAGTAAATAAGATGCCTCCTCCCCCTCCCAAATGTTGCTTCCAGCACAGAAAATGCTGTCTGCAGTACAAAAAAAAAAATCGCATGCAATTTTCCCCCCCACAAAATAAGTCTCATATTGTGAGGATTGAGATCAATCCAGAATTTCCTGACACTTGGGAAATACATTATTTGACCATTTACAAAATAATATCAAACATTGTATTGTCGAAGGCTTTCATGGCTGGAATCACTAGGTTCTTGTGGGTTTTTTCGGGCTATAGAGCCATGTTCTAGAGGCATTTCGCCTCTAGAACATGGCTCTATAGCCCGAAAAAACCCACAAGAACCTAATATCAAACATTATTTCCACCTCTATTGGTGACTAATTTGTAGTCAGGCCACCAAAAATAACCCCACCCTAGCAGTCTTCTGAATGCAACTTCCTGCTAAGTCCCAGAAAACAACATGTTGTCAGGAAAGAAAACTAATACACTTCATGCTGTCTTTTGTGCTTGAACTTTTATGATCCAGTTAGGCTGTCAGTACATTTCAAGAGAGAAAGAGTGCATATGTGCTTACTTGTTCAAACTCTGATAGTTACACATCTCTTTCCTCCTTGTTAGAGATGGAGTTGCCCAAGAACATGGCTCCCATCCATTGTGATCCAGTGAGGCTGGATCTGCACTGCCCTATATCCCAGGACCTGATCCCAGATTATCTGTTTATCCCAGATTATCTGGCATTGTAGACTCATATAATCCAGTTCAAAACAAAAAATCTGGGATCAGATCCTGGGATATATGGCAGTCCAGCTCCATCCTAAGACTCTAGGGCCTTACTTTCCAGTCTCATCTATCTTGTATCTTAGTGATATTATAAAGCGCATTCCGTCTTGTCTTTTCTCCTGATAGATACGGGAGACTGAAACCCAATAATCTCTAGAGGACTGCAAGTTGCCCATCCTTGCTATACTCTGAAACCTATTTCCTTTAGTTCTGACAACATGAATGTGTAGTGGTTTAATGTCTTTTTCAATGTTTTCCTTTTGTCTTAAAGCAAGGCTGTTTTTGAGAGATAGGACAAGAAATGCTAAGATACTTTTAACCTTGTGCTCTGTGAACTTCTCTTGAACTTCTTCAAGGAAAGGTAGGATAATAAATAACTACCTTTTTGCCACTAAGGGAGATCAAAGAAAGGTTTAACAGGTTTTTGAGGGTATGACAAAGATCTCAAAAATAGACATGTGGTCCATCAGACTGAAATAATGGGCAGGTTTCACATCTGATCAAGCCTGTTTTCAGAGCAGTTTTCTAAATACAACCAATTCTGTGCTCCTGTGTTGGGTGAGGCCTAATGGTACTTGACAAAAGTTATTTTTATGTGCCAAGGCATGGATGGGAATACCTCTGAAAGCACTTCAGAGGCATACCCTACTAACTAAGCAAAACAGAGAAACAGCATTGAAGAACATGCCTTGCAAGATATTTGACTTACGGTATGTTTGTAATTCCTAATTAGCAAATGGACATTAAACGGTTTACTATTCATCAGATTGTTGTAGTTTATATCTCAGCTCCTTTTCAAGAAGTGATTCAAGGTGGCATATGTGGAGAGATAGTGAGGACTTAACTGAAAGCTTCATGGTTGAGTGGAAACTTGACCTTAAACACCATCCACTTCAACAAAGGACTCTTGGTCTCCACATGGATACAAACTAGCAATCTGATTGAGACCATTCATCTTCCTAACCTGGTATTATTTAAACTGGCTCTGGCTCACTGATGCACCAGGTAAAAGATTGCTATCTGAGATCCTTTCATTAGAAATCGTTATGGTCTTCTGTAATATGGAATCATGGCACAAAATGCTATCTACAGCTTTAGCAAAAAGCTGTAGCTTTTTGGTGTTCTAAATTTTGAATAAATATGTATGGTAGAGCTGATGCTGAAAAACAATTACATAGACATGACAAATTGTGAATTGTAAATATAAAAAAAAATAGCGGTTTCTGCACCTTACGGAAATTATTCCTTGTGTCCTTGTATTCACGGCTTAGACTGTTTACCATTTCCATTATGTATCGCCAGCTCATGTAGTTTTGAATGTCTCTGTATAGTAATACAAAAAGAAAATACTGGTGATGTTTCCAGAACCATAGAACAGATGGGCATTGATATTTAAGAAATGTATACAGCACACCTACCTGGCTGTGTATTTATTAAGGATAGATTCTAGCTTGAGTAGATATTCTGGAGCACAAACAATCACATTTTCTGTATTTTCAATGTTAATTTGCACTATTGACATGATATTATTGAAAAATGTTGACCAGCTGAATTGCTGTGAAGACAAAAAGATATGCACTTTAGTTATATTCCATTTGTTCAATATAAGAAAGTTTCATTTCTAATCAGTGTGTGTGTGCGCGAGCGTGCACACTTTCATGTTGCCTGTCAATTTATGGTGAATTCATGGATTTCATCGTTTTCTTAGGAAAGGAATATTTAGAGATGGTTTCCTTTGAGATATAGCCTAGAGCACCTGATATTCACTAGTAGTATCCTATCCATTTATTGTGGTCACCCATCCAATTGCTGACTCTGCTTTGCTTAGAAGATCAGATGGGTTCTCTAGCCTTTAGCCCCTTATGATTTCTTGAATGTTTTGAGAAGACTTATGGCTGTGATTAAATAACTCTGTTGCATAATGACCTCTGTTTATATATTAGATTTACATTCTGACAACTTCATTGACTATGCCTTCAGGAAAGCTCTTGAATACCAACCAAAATTTGTACACATTATAAGCATAAAATCCCTCCCACTTGATGTAGAAAAAAATCAAGATTATATCATTTAAATAGAAAATGATTTTAAAATCTTAATCAAGCCTTTCAAATCCATCAGTGCTAGTCCATCACTAAAACATGGCTTCATTTGTGTCAGGATTTTTGAAAATGATGCCACTGTTTTTCAAGATAAAGCGAGATGTCAAGCAATAACAGAAGCTAAGCAGTTTTGACACATTTAGATTATGGATAAGAGTTTCCAACTTCCTGATTCACTTGAGATCTACTGGCTGACTCCCATTTTAGAAATTAAAAATATTACACTTTGGCTGGGGATGCTGTATACATAGTTGAGATTGGTCCTATAATACAATGCATTATGCCAGGGGTCCCCAAACTAAGGCCCGGGGGCCAGATACGGCCCTCCAAAGTAATTTACCCGACCCTCGTTCAGGATCAACCTAATACTGAAATGACTTGTAAGCACACAACAACAACAACAAACAACAATAACAACAACCCTATCTCATCAGCCAAAAGCAGGCCCACACTTCCCATTGAAATACTAATAAGTTTATATTTGTCAAAATTGTTCTTCATTTTAATTATTGTATCATTTTAAGGTATTTTTACACTACAAATAAGATATGTACAGTGTGCATAGGTATTCATTCATTTTTTTCCCAAATCATAATCTGGCCCTCTAAGAGTTTGAGGGACTGTGACATGGCCCTCTGTTTAAAAAGTTTGAGGACTCCTGTATTATGCCATACAAATACTATAGCCTTTAAAAAAAGAGACAAGAGAACATTTTATGTCCTGCAAAACACATATTGCACTATACAGTCGGAAAATAGTACATACATTTTATTCTCCATCTAAGCCCATCAAATGCATTGGCTCTCCAGGCAATGGGTGAAAAATTCAATATTAAAGTGGAGTATCTAAAAATTATTAAACATCTCAATGTATTTAGCACTGTAAATCTTTCTCAGATCGTCATGTTTTATATTGTTTTTATGGTGTACTTCCCTGACTTCCTTAGATCTATGACACATTTTAATCTCTATCTATCTATCTATCTATCTATCTATCTATCTATCTATCTTTTTCTTTTCTAAAAGTGAAAATATCTGTAGGTGGCTGAGGTGCCCACTTCCACAGACAGGCTCCCACTTGCACAAGCAGCTTTAACCCACAGTGTTGAGGAGCCCTCAAAAGCTCTCCCTCCAGTGAGCGTTATGAACATGTAGCCTAACCCCTGCCAATGTCCTCTCCAAACACCATACCCAAGGAATGCTTTTATTTGGGAACAATTTCATCCTACATTTTACGTGTTTCCTCCACCACTGACATTCCAGTGTTTCTTACTCTCTCCATTGGTGTGGAATTTGCATATTCCCACCCACTTCCTCTCCCTTAACCCTTTCCTACTCTTTTCAACTCTGCACAACAAACATAGTAGAACTAACAACCAAACATACTGGAGGAGTTTGGAAGATTGACTCCACATGATGGAAGTTGTAGTTCATTCTGCATCAAGTTAGAGCACTATGACATCCACTGACAATGGACCCGGTATACTGAACCCCCATGATGAAAGAAAAATACTGGAGAGGTTTGGGGTAATTCACCTTGATTTATAGCTATTGTAGGTACTGGGATTTATAGTTCACTTGCATTAATATAGCACTCTGGACCCCACCAATGATGGCCCTGGACCTAACTTGGCACACAGAACCCCCATGACCAATGAAAAATACAGGAGGGTTTTGGGGGAAGTTCACCTTGATTTATAGGAATTATAGTTCACTCTATCAAGAGAGAACTGTGAATGCAAGCAATGCATGCATATCCAATATGCCCAAATTTGAATACTGGTGGGTTTGGGGGGAAATGACCTTGACATTTGTTGGTTGTAGGTACTGGGATTTATAGTTCATCTGCAATCAAAGAGCACTCTGCACCCCACCGATGATGCACTTGGATCTAATTTGGCATAGAGAACCACCATGACCAACTGAATCTATTGGAGGGATTTGAGGACACTGGCCCACAATGATGAGAGTTTTAGTTTACCCTGCAGCCAGAGAGCACGCTGAACCCCAGTAATGATGCATCTAGAGCAAACTTGCCTGACATGACAAACTTTAAGTATTGGTGTTTCAGGGGGTTAACCTGGCATGATGTGAGAGTTGTAGTACTCCCACAACCTTATGCATTTTGTAAAATTTTGAAAAATGACTTCTTCTAATAACCTGGATAACACCGGGTACCCAAGCAAGTAAAGAAATAAAATACAAGATGTTCTAATGCAGCAATCAAGCTTATATGACCCACATAGGCACATATACGAGTATGTTTCTTCATTGATTGAATAACTTCATTAGGGGTTTGAAGGAGTGAGGTCACAAAAACTCTTCAAGCAATGTGTTATAGGAAGAAGGTGATGGAATGAGGGAACAGTGTTAGAGGGGAAAGTCTTGGTGGCTGTATGACCAGAGATGATGATGATGATGATGATGATGATGATGAGAAACAACTGGAAAAGCTGACACGATATGAGGATTTAGAGATCTAACTGCACAAGCCAGTCAAGGTGGTCCCAGTGGTGATCGGCACACTGGGTGCAGTGCCTAAAGACCTTGGCTTGCACTTAAACACAATTGGCACTGACAAAATTACCATCTGCCAGCTGCAGAAGGCCACCTTACTGGGATCTGCACACATCATTTGCTGATACATCACACAGTCCTAGACACTTAGGAAGTGTCCGACGTGTGATCCAATACAACTGCCAGCAGAGTGATCTTGTCTGCTGTGGACTCATCTTGGTGTGTTTCAAATAATAATAATAATAATAATAATAATAATAATAATAATAATAATAAACTACTTTGTTTGTATACCCCGCCACCACCTCCCCAAAGTGACTCAGGATGGTTTATAAGTGGGACCAAGCCCAGAACATACAACAAAATACACCAACTAAAAACGTAATAGCATAAACAATCCAATTAAAACAATTAAAAACATAGTAGGGTATAAAAACATCATTAAAAGTATATCAAACCAAATTCAACAACCAATAACCAGGATAAGGGCATGAAACAGACACATTTTTGTGATCTTTAAGCTGATCTTGTAAAGGAATTATTTTTCATTTTTTCTTATAGCTAACATAGCAGCCTACACACATTTCTGAATGATATATATTCATTTGGATCTATATAAACATAAAAATCGAGATCAACAAGTATTCATGCAAATTATAAAAAAGAGGTCATTCTGGTTTGCCTTCTGTCTTTTGATTAGTGCAGTCAGATAGCTACTGGAAAAAACCTCCATAAGCTGCAATGGGAAAAGTGCTCACTTAGTAATAAATTATGTTAAACAATTTCACATTTATCTCAGAAACTCTTGGCTAAGAGGCAGTTAAGTTGAGCTGAATTAGCTACAATTGAAGGTTAATGAGCTGTAAAACAATAAAAAGCTATGACTCCAATTACTTTACATAACTGTACTTCTTGCACTGAAAAGGAAGTTCTACTTCTACATGCTGGGTAGGATCCAGCCAATTTCAGTAGGTTTTAAACATTCAGAAGGATACAATTTTGTATGTCATTCATAGCCCATATGACTTTCTACATAGTTTTAAAAAATTAGATAGATACCTAGTAATAAAAAGTTGATCAATCACCTTTAAAGCATTAATTTAAAATTATTGAAAACAAATTGAAAACAAAGAATCTATAAAATGTGAATTGTGACACCTGATGTCAAAATTCATGTACTCTGGCATGAGTCTGCCACATTTGACTCTCTGAATTTTCCATTCATTGAAAGAATGCTTCATAACTGCTAAATGAATGGATGGATGGATGATTAAATTAAACTTCCTAAATCCTATAGCAGCTTATCCATTGGATGTTGACTGCTATATGCTGCTGCGTTTCAGCTGTCAGAGGCTGTCAAATGTAGATTGCAACTGAAACACTGGTGTCAAGCGCCAGTGCAGAATATTTATTTACTGCAGAATAATCAGAATATGCACTAAGTTATAGTACCCTGTTTGAAAAATATTTTGGATGGTGGATTGCTTTTACCTTTAATCTTGATGCTATGAATCTACATTGGAACCTTTGCCAGTGCAATTTAATTTACTCTTTTATCTTAAACTGGAGGTTGAAAAGTAATGTTGCTTCTCTAGCAGACAAATCCTTTGCTCAATCCCCAACTGGGAATTGGGCACCATACTCAACTGCTCAGGCTCTCATGGGCCCCATATACATTGACCACATACTGCAGTTTGAAGCTAGATTCAAAATGCAGCAGTCAGACAATGAACTCCCACTAAAAAGCGCAAAAGAAAGTCCTTAATGAACACCAGTGTTCTGTGGTTTGTATTATTACCTCCCAGGCCTCAAAATGGGTCCAGATTTCCTATGTAATCCTATGTAATCATGTACACAGCAAAACCTCTTTCTTCAATAAGAGTCAGTGTAGATGGGTCCTTAGATCCATAAATGACTACTATGCAAAACTGTCCTGGCTATCCTGCCATATTCCAACATTTTAATTTTTTATTTTTGGGAATGACACTTTCCAAAATTCACAGCCACAATGATTATAGAAAATTATAATCCAAAAAAGTAACTTTTTGAAGTGTTTTAAGGTACAGAACCTCCTCTGTGTTGTTACAGAGAGGAAAATGTTTATAATCTCTACAACATAGTAGCTGTGTTGGCATTTAGAGTTATACTTCTTTCCAAGATGGGAAACTTTGCTAATTGCTTTAACCTTCTATCTCAATCAGTCACAAATCACAAATGGTATAAGTTTGTTTTGGTTGCTCAGCATTTCATAGGCCATGGCTGTAGGAGAAGCATTAACTAGGTACAATACATGGTGGGCACTATGATCTAATATGGTTATTTGAAGGACTGTAACTCCCCGTATGAGCCCAGTATAGCTCTAAGATTGTCTGGAGAAGCCCTTCTCTTTGGCCTACCACCTTGGTGTCTTCCTGCAATTGCAAGTTCCCATGTGATAATTTCCCATGACAAAAAACAACACACATTTTCTTATTCACGCCACTGTAAATAAGGTGCCAAAGAACTCAGTCTTTGAACTGAAGTCCTGTTGCAGGGTCATACAAGTTTTCCTTACTTGGTATCAGAGAAAGTATATGTATTATAAAACTTTATATTTAGACTTCCTCTCTTTATGATGGAAAAACACATGATTTAATTGAACTTTGTTCACTTGTCAGATGTTTGCATTAGAACTCTTAATGACAATTTAACCTCTTGTCCTAATCTAACTAAGCAAGGCACCCATGTAAAAGCAGATTTTGGCACATATTCTTCTGATTGGATAAAGTATGACATGTTTTGATAACTACTGTCTGCATGGTTGATTCCTATTTAAGCCCCATTTCAAGGCTTCGTTCAACGATCAGGGCTTAGAATTTGACTGAATCTTTTTTTGAGAGAGATATCTTTTGGACTGTATTAGAAAAGTTACTTTTTGTCTCACACCCCATCTACACTGTCATATAATGCAGTTACAAGCTGAATTACATATATCGTCAGTCTGGAATGGCCCTCAGAAACTGGAGATTTACTTTTTGGCTTACAACTTCCAGGATTCTCCAGGTTAGCATAGGCAGTAATCATGTTGCTTTGGGATGATTCTCATAGCTATACTATAAAAAAGCAACGTTATCATGTTACATATTGTTTCGACATATTAGTAATTACTTCTTGCAAGGAAGGCAAGAGATTATTTATTGCAATGCTGAAAACATCTTCCTGAGAATATATACTACTGAACTATATGGGATTTACCTCTGAGCAGATATTCACAGGACATGTCAATTCTGTCCCTTCTCCTCTAGTCCTCTATTATGGCTATTAATGGGTTACTACACATGTTCAATTGACTTATTTTCCTTTTCCTGCCAGCAGATCAGAATACAACGGGGTGACAAATTCACTTTAACATGGGCAGTTCTAAAGTTCAATTTATCTTCTGAATTAAGCTTTTACAAAAGCAAAATACATTAGACTACTGCATGAATCAATCAGCAGTAGAAGCTGAAAATAATGCATCTTTTTTTTACCTTGTGATTGAATTCCAAAGTGAAATTCTTCTGGATATCTTCGAGAGTCATTTTGTTATACAGTAAAAGGGGGTCAGTTCTGTCATCAGCTTTGGTGGTAGCCTGGAAAACACACACATACATACACACAAAGGGATTTACAACACATGAAGCGGCTCTTTTGAAGAAACTGCACGACAAACAAGAGATGTGGAAAAGCTGCATGGATATCATCTCATCCCCTCAAAGCACGAATGTTTGAATGCAAAATATAGACAGATAGACGATGCCAACAGATGTGAGATATGTTTATTTTCAGCCAGGCAGTATTTGCTCACTATTATGTTGAACAACACATGATATTATTATTGTTATTGTTACTGTGATTAATTTATTTTAACATTTTGTTTTATTCTTCTATTATATCTGTTCTAACAAAAAGCATTCCCTTACATTGAATATTAGATAAGTGGACAAATGTCAGCAGGCTGGAAGAAGCAAAGACCACCAGCATTGAAGTGATGCTCCTCACCATCAACTCTGCCAAACTGGCCACATTGTCCGAATGTCCAATCGTCATCTCCCAAAGCAGTTACTATACTCCCAACTCAAGAACAGGAAGTGTAATGTAGTTGGGCAGGAAAAGAAATTTAAAGATGGGCTTAAAGCCAACCTTAAAAACTGTGGCAGAGACACCGAGAACTGGGAAACCCTGGGCCTTGAGTGCTCTAACTGGAGATCAGCTGTGACCAGCAGTTCTGCAGAATTTGAAGAGGCACGAATGGAGGACGAAAGGGAGAAATGAGCCAAAAGGAAGGCGTGTCAAGCCAACCCTGACCGGGACTGCCTTCCACCTGGAAATTGATGTCCTCACTGCGGGAGAACATGCGGATCAAGAATTGGACTCCACAGCCACCTACAGACCCACCACCAAGACGCTACACTTGGAGGACCATTATCCTTGGGCTACGAGGGATCACCTAAGTAAGTAATTAGACCTAGAGTATGTAACAATAAAATGTAATAATGTAATGAAATGTAAAAATTAAAATACGCTATTTATAAAAAGACCACTGGTGTGATGCATCATAATCTGCTATATTAATAATATAAATATCCATTTCATCTTCTTCTTATCAACTCTCTCAGCTATACATTACATTAGCAGATCAAGACCATGCTGTCTCCATAAACCTAGAGAACACAGAGAAGGTCCCCCTGACCCCACTGAATGTCAGGTGAAGAAGGGTAGGAAAAGACAGATTTCTAGCGGCAGGTTGCATCAGTTTGTCTTCTGAAAACAATACAATAAAGCTTGACATGGAGAAGAATGGGATCCTATTTTAGGTAATTCCCATTGCTACTGGGTGTGCTTATGTACAACAGGCAAGGGAAACAGTTGACTCCAGAAATATTTAGGGCCCTTCCACACAGCCATACAACCCAGAATATTAAGGCAGATGAACCACAATATCTGCTTTGAACTGAATTATCTGAGTCTACACTGCCACATAATCCAATTCAATGTGGATTGGATTATGTGGCAGTATGGAAGAGGCCTTTCTGAGCATGTGTGAAGACAACACAGAAAGAAAAGAGATACCTTGGCATAATGGAAAGGCAAAGATGTCTAAACTTTGCCAACAAAATGGTGTTCAAAAGAAAAGTTGAACTATTGAAAGAAAAATAATCCTGGGATTTGGGAAACATTTCTGGAATTAACCAATTGTTTTCTTTATTTATATAGGACTTATCTGACCTGGTTGTTTCATTTTATACCACACATTTATAGCACTATGACAATGTTTCAATTGGCATGGTTCTGTCCTGTGGAATCCTAGGAGGGGAATTCAGAATTCTCTGTGGAAAAGATTTAGTGCCTCCCTGTACTATAAATCCCAGGATTCCATGGCAGGCAGCCATGGCAATTAAAGTAGACTCCTAGTGCTATAGCTGTTTAGTATGAAAAAATATATTACGTTATCAAATCAGATGCATCAGTTTGGACTCATATGTAACCATGCATATTGTATTGTAATTGTCTTTGCTCAAGATCCTGACCATTTTAATCTTAACTTTAAACATTCAGTTCTGTGCATAAAACTTAGAAAACAGACTTACATTTGCAATCTCTGTCTCCAGAGCCATTACTCTTCTCATTTCTGCAGCAATTACTGTCTCGTCGATGGTAAGGTTTCTTTCTTGGCGGATCAGCTTTGCTACGGAAATCATAAAATCAACATAGGCTGAGCATGCCTGTAAGAAAAGAAATATATACACATTTTGCAAATACATGTTGAACATTGTACAGAGAAGCCATTAAATGGCTGAGTTATACATGCACTGCTTTTTCTTGTCACAGAACTATTTAAAAGACTATTCCACATAAACCTGCACATTGGTCAGTCATGTTCCAAGGCTCTGTTTGGCATTCTAACATTGAGGTAAATTGGGCATTGAGAAAATGAGACAGGAACAGTAAACTCTTTCAAAAGAGATATTAGAGTGTCCTTTAGCTACATGATTACGACAATGTTGTTCCATTAGGCTTTTCAAATGTTTGACTTTAATCCAGATGTGATTTTGTTTCTCCAATTTTGCTTCTGAATGCTCCCTTTAATTATTACTGCAGAGTTCCACCATGGATCGAAAGTATAAGCACTTTTATAATCTATCAATCACCCAATTTGCACTTGACACAGAGCAGCAATCAGACATGTCATGCTGCTCTTATCTCCACTTGCTATGGAATTGTTTTTTCTACATTATGCAGTGTTTTGTTCTCTCTCTGGAATAATGGCAGTTAATTTCATGAAGCAAGGCAATAAAACTCACAATGCCACAATATTGGCTAAGAGTGATCCTACATATGAAGGCGGAAGGGAAAGAACAGGGCCTGGGTATGCAGCCCTCCTGACTAGCCAGTTCTATTTCATGTTCCAGATCATTTTCCCTTTGCTTCCTCTGATTGTACACCAGGGCTTTTTAAAACTGTTTCTACTTGTGACCCCTTTCCACCTGATACATTTTATGTGACCCCAGGTATATGAAATAGGTATAAAAATTAAACATTTGGCTGAAACTGGATTGCTGTGAGTTTTCCGAACTGTGTGGCCATATTCCAGAAGCATTATCTCCTGACGTTTGTCCACATCTATGGCAGGCATCCTCAGAGGTTGCGAGGTCAGTTGGAAATTAGGCAAGTGAGGTTTATATATCTATGGAATGTCCAGGGTGGGAGAAAGAACTCTTCTCTGCTTGAGGCAAGTGTGAATGTTGAAATTGGCAACCTTGATTAGCATTTAATGGCTTGTAGTTTCAAAGCCGGGCTGGTTGCTGTCTAGGGGGTATTAGCTCGCTCTGATTGATTCTTGTCTGGAATTCCCCTGTTTTTTGAGTGTTGATCTTTATTTACTGTCCTGATCTTAACGTTCTTTTAAATACTGGTAGCCAGATTTTGTTCATTCTTATGGTTTCCTCCTTTCTGTTGAAATTGTCCACATGCTTGTGGATTTCAATGGCTTCTCCATGGACTCTGACATGATAGTTGTTAGAGAAGTCCAGCATTTCTGTGTTCTCAAATAATATGCTGTGTCCAGGTTGTTTCAAGAACTGCTCAGCTATGGCTGATTTCTCTGGTTGAATTAGTTCCCCAAGGCAGCAACGAGCCAGGCTTTGAAGCTACAAGGCCATTCAGTGCTAACCAACGTGGCCAATTTCATCATTCTCATTTGCCTCCAGCAGACAAGAGTTCTTTCTCCCATTTTGGACATTCCACAGATATATAAACCTGACTTGCCTAGTTTCCAACTGATTTCACAACCTCTGAGGATGCCTGCCATAGATGTGGGCAAAACCTCAGGAGAGAATGCTTCTGGAACATGGCCATACAGCTTGGAAAACTCACAGCAACCCAGTGATTCCAGCTATGAAAGCCTTCGACAACAGTTTGCTGAAAATACACCCGCATTTGGAAAGCTTATGAAACAGACTGATTTTCCCTTTTGTGGGGTACAGCTGAAGAGTTTTCTGTAGAGTTCACTATAAACACTGCATGTTGTTGGCATTCAGAAACCTTTTACTGTCACCAAATTTTGTGACCCCAACATTGACCCCATTTGGGGCCAGGACCCACAGTTTAAGAAGCAGTGTTCTAAACAATTATTTCTTTTATATCATTGCAGAAAAAGTAAAGCCTGAAACCGCTATATGGTCCCAACTCTTTTTTTTCAATCTTTCGAGTCCCCCACAACACCCCCTCATGCCCCCTGGTCCTCTATATTTGTTTAATTGATCAATATATACCAGCAGAATTTGCAGTCCAAAAATCTCAGGAGGACTACATTTTCCTCATCTCTGTACTAGAAGCTCTTCCAGACTTTACATATTATCTTGAAACATTATTAAATTATTACTATTGAGACAATTGGCTGTAACTGGCTGTAGCAGTATGATGAAATACTATTAACACAAGTAGCAAATCTTTTTTTTAGGTATTTAGTTATAGCATACCTGCCTAAAACAAGGCCAATCATAAGATGAGTGTAATTACATATTTACTAATGTGCATTTGAAAGCTAAGACATGGATTACAGCTTTGCTAACAAGCTTACTTAATTACAGTTTCAGCAAATGTGGCTTCCAGACTGTGGCAATAAACAGATTAGTTGGGAGGAGATACTCATTAGAGGAACAATGATTCAGTGTTGACAGTTTCTCTGGGTGTCTGTGGGAGGTTCCATTATGGACGTTTGGTTTCTTGTTAGAGATTTTATTCTCTCCTTAATATGCTGGCAGCTGTCCATTAGCATCCCTGCTCAGGCTGACATTACGTATAACAATGTCCTAGATGGATTCCAACTTTCATCCAGGAAATCTGTACAAATTCATTAGGGAAGCTTCAGCCAATCAAAATTCACCCCCAAGTGTGCACATGATAAGCCAAGTTCTACACTTGTATGTTCAGAAGGAGACTACCACCAGTCCAGTGGAGTGGTTGTATTAAAATAAAGGTAAAGGTTTTCCCCTGACATTAAGTCTAGTCGTGTCCGACTCTGGGGGTTGGTGCTCATCTCAATTTCTAAGCCAAAGAGCGAGCATTGTCTGTAGACATCTCCAAGGTCATATGGCCAGCATTACTGTATGGAGTGCCGTTACAACAGATTTTAAAGATCAGAGTGCGAGAAAAGGAAGAGGAAATAATAATGGGCACCTTCTGCACATGCTAATGTGTCTGGCCACATGAAATGATGTAATATTATTGGAAGCAATAGCGCTGTGTAGGTATTGTGGAAGCTTGTTGGGTTTTTCAGATACAGATATGCAAAAAATGCATACTTATAATACTTTAAATCAGGGGTCTTCAAACTAAGGCCCGGGGGCCGGATGCGGCCCTCCAAGGTCATTTACCCAGCCCTTGCTCAGGGTCAACCTAAGTCTGAAACGACTTGAAACCACATAACAACAACAATAATCCTATCTCATCAGCCAAAAGCAGGCCCACATTTCCCATTGAAATACTAATAAGTTTATATTTGTTAACATTGTTCCTCATTTTAATTATTGTATTGTTTTTAAGTATTGTATTGTTTTTACACTACAAATAAGATATGTGCAGCGTGCATAGGAATTCATGTTTTTTTCCAAATTATAATCCGGCCCTCCAACAGTTTAAGGGACTGTGACCTGGCCCTCTGTTTAAAAAGTTTGTGGACCCCTGCTTTAAATCATTGGTTGGCATCCTGTTTAGTAGCTACTTCTGATCTCATAACTTTTGAGATTCATGAGATTAACGGTTGACTCTGACCAATATCCCACGCCGCTTTTGTGGTGAGGCGGATCAGGGGGCAGGAAAATGATGACTGGAATACTATCCCAGTTTCAGTGCACTGAGAGAAGTAGTTGCAGCAGGACCCCCCAGGGTCTCTCCAAATGCTTGACTTATCATGCCTTGTAACCAGGACAGTAAGGCATTCATGACTTCCTTGCACCCTGATCAGCAGCGCCTTGGAAACCTTTCAACTGAGGCACTATTTTCCTTAAGAGGCCAGGATTTTAATTTTTTTGCAAGGAGTGGTGAGCATTGGGATAAGTAGCTACAAGATCTAGCTCCATTCTTGTAGCTGCGTCTGACAATGCCAAATCTTGGTGATAATTTAATTCACATTAACTGAGAAAACATTATTATTTTTTCCCCTTTAGGAACAGAGATATAAATAGTATAAGAACCAACAATGTGTTCACATTTTTTTTGAGAGGGGACACTAGTGGTACCAGTCACCATAGTTTTACAGCCGCTACACTTCTATTCCTCTCATTGAAATTTCTGAATTAGTTAGAAAATGAGTAATTTGGGAGCTTATTCCTTTCATACAGAATTGACAGAGGTATAGTTGCTGGTCTGAGAGCATACCTCTTTGTAAACTCCAGTGCATTCATAGTAATCACGGGAAGGGAGTCCAAGAGAAGGCTGATCTATCTGGAAAGCAAATATTAAAAAACATAATTATCAGGCTAGAGGAACAATAATTCAATGGAAAGATAAAAGTCTGCAACTAATGATATCTACTTCTAAATAGCTGTTTCTTTGAAAATACTTCTGAAGTAAAATATATGAACACTAAAACATAATTCTGCATTAAAAATACTTAAGTCCTGTGTTGGAAACAGAAGATTTGAGGGCATTCCTGTACTGAAATAAATCAAGAGAGGGGAAAAACAGAGAATGGAATGGGAAAGGATCTGGATCTAGAACTTCATGCCACAGCTTTAGGGGGATGACTTTGGCACCTTAAAATATGTACATATGTTCAAGACTTTCCAAGAGTTCTGAACTTACATGAATTATATGTTGCGTAGAATTCTTATCATCTGTACCAACAAAGAAGTTAATGATGACCCTTTTCCCATACTGATAAGTTAAGTTTGCAATAGAGTTTTCGGCTGTCCATGAGGCACCTAAAACAGTTTAAGAAAAAGAAATACTCTGAGTATTTTAATGAAGACACTTTTCTAGCTGATTTTTGGAAAATAGTGAAAATTCTCCTACCATAATCATGGTCCCAGTTATCCAATGCCACAGGCCAGTCAGAAAAAGTTGGCATTATGTCGATGAGTGGTTTCCCTCCTCTGCTATCAATAGTCGCTTGTGAAAACAAACATTGGTTCATAGGTTTTATGTATGCATTCATAAAAGCACAAAATTATTACAATGGCACTGACAAACAATGAGTACTACATAGATCAGTCTGCTTATGTCCTGAGATCTTCTGAGCAGACCTTTTCTCAGGGCCCTTTCCACACAGGGCCCTTTCCACACACACATTTTCTGCTTTGAACTGGAATATATGGCAGTGTGGACTCAGATAACCTGGTTCAAAGCAGATGCTGTAGGATTTTCTGCCTTGATATTCTGCATTATATGGCTGTGTGGAAGGGCCCTCTGTTTAATACCTTTATAAGTACATTTGATGGGAACTCTGGAGAGGGTTTTCCCCAGAGGCTGCTTTCAAGCAGAGGACGAGTTTTTGTTGCAGCATATATTTGAGGGCTGGTTGTTCAGTGTGAAAAGGTCTTCCATGTGTTTTATGCTTGCCATTTTGTTATGCTTTCAACTGCTTTTAGTCTTAGTGATAATTTAATAACATGCTTAGCTTTTTTAAAATATATATTTTATTGAATTTTCTGTGACATGAGTTAAAAACCAAGAAAGAAAAAATGGGCAGATATTGTGGAGGGAAGGAGAGGGTAGGGGAAGAGGGAAAGCGGGGAAAGGGAGGAAGGCAGGGGCAGGGGAAAAAAAGAGAAAAAAGAGAGAGAGAGGAAAAAAATGAAGATCTTCGTGACTTTCTGAGTAAGTTGGTGGAGATGTTCTCCTTTTCTTTGTCTTCTGTCCTTCAGTCTATCATAGACTTCTCTCCTTCTTTCTTCCTAGAGGTGTTTTTTTAAACGATTGTCTTATATTTTATCTCTTTTAAATAATCAGTAATTTTTCCCCAATTTGTCTCTTGTGTCGGATTATCCTTACTTTTAGATATTAGAAATGTGAGTCGATCCATGTTTCTAATGTCATACACTTTCTGTAACCATTCTTCTGGTTCTGGTATTTCTTCCTTCTTCCATAATTTTGCGTAGAACATCCTCGCCACTGTTGTTAGTAAAAATAGTAGTTTGTCAGTATTTTTTTCTCATTTTTGATGTTGTCATTCCCAACAAGAATATTTCTGGTTTAAGTTGAATATTTATACCTAACATCTTTTGCATTATTTCATGTATTTTTTTCCAATACGACTTTGCCTTATCGCATGTCCACCACATGTGAAACAGAGTACCTTCCTTCTTTCTACATTTCCAACAACTTGTGTTGACATTACTATAGCATTTGCCTAATTTATACGGTGTCATGTACCATCTATATGCCATTTTTAACCAATTTTCCTTAAGGTCTGTTGCGTACGAATATTTTAATTTCTTCATCCAAATTTCCTTCCATTCCTCTATTTTTGTATTTCTTCCAATATTTTCTTTCCATCTCTTCATGTATTCCTTTTCTTCATTCGGGTCCTTATTCCATTCTCTTAATTTTTTGTATATCTTTGTTATTATTTTTGTTTCCGTCTGCATTATAATATCCCAGAATGTTGTTTGTTCTTCGAAACCGGACTATTCGTCTTTTTTGAACCTTTCTCTTATCTGCCCGAATTGAAACCATGATATTTTCCCATTGATTTCCTTCATCTCTTGCTGGGTTTTTTGGATTATTTTCCCCTTTTCTTTTTTCACCAGTTCTTTGTATTTCGGCCAATCGTTCCAACCTAATTCTTTTCTTTGTACGGCTTCCAATGGTGAGATCCACAATGGAGTTTTCTCACAGATATTTTTCTTATATTTTCCCCAAATTTTATATATAGCCGATCGAATAAAATGGTTTCCAAACCTTTTTTCTTTTTTGGCTCCCTCGTACCACAAATACTGATGCCATCCTGCTCTTAAGTCTATTCCTTCTAGATTCAATAATTTTTCATTTTCTAAACATGCTTAGCTTTTGTGTGATGCATTTTTAAGCTGTGCCAGTATTATAACTGTAAAAGGTGTAGATAATGTCATAGTATTTCTAGTACAGAATCATGAGTCCCGCCATAAAATAATCCCCAGAGCTATCCAATGGAAACTGGAAAGGAAGGGGGGAAATCCCACACCACCACCCCATCCCAGTAAGCCTTTTTTATTCTCTCCAAATTTTGTTCAGTTAAGGCCATTATGTGTTTGTCTTTGTTGACCATTTACAAGGCATCTACCTGACTGTGTGCCACCATTGGTGGCCACTGGATGTGTGACTAGCCCCCTTTCTCTAGAGGCAAAAGTGGGAGTCTTTTGGCAAAAAGTTTTAAGTGTCACAAATTTGAGATTTTCAGATAAGAGAGGGTCAACCTTTATATTCATACTATTAGTGCATTAAAAGATGTATGGAGAGAATAAGATAAACCAATATTAATAATGTATTAATGCTATGTATTGTAAGTTATTAAAAGTTATTTATTACAAGATTTATTTTAAACATTGTTGCATTTATGTGTATGTAGCCTAGCTGATCTTGCCATGTTTGCTCTGAGGTTTAAGACTAGAATAAAGCATCTTTCCACCAACTGGCAGTCTCCAAATAGACTACATCACACATCACCTTCAACTGGCCACCCCTTCCATGTAACAAAATCTTACATGCAACAAAATACAAGGAAACTTACTCTCATTTATGCAAGATCGGTAAAGCATTTTTGCTTTCTTAACAGCTTCTATATCATCATTGTTTTCCTTGTCGAGGACATCTGAAAATAAGAGATATATTTATCCAACTGTTATAGATTGAGTAGTCATACCATGTCATAAATGCCCATTTACCTCAATGTACAAAACAGTAAGTGATTATGACAGTACAGTTTCAAATCATCCTGGAATAAACTTGTGTTCTTTCCGAAGAACACTGTCTGCTGATACCAATCCCACTCCCTCCCCCACACGTGGTTGTTGTTCATTGTTGCTTGCCTTCAAGTCATCTCTGATTTATGGCAAATTTTAGGTTAATCTATCATTGGGTTTTCTTGATAAGATTTGTTCAGAAAAGGTTTGCCATTGCTTTCCTCTGAGGCTGAGAGGGTGTAACTTGCCTAATAGGTTTCCATGACTGAGTGGGAATTCGCATTAAAGTCTTAGTCCAACATTCAAACACCAAACTAGCTCTTATAAAACATTATATACCAATAAAATAGTTTTGTCTGTTTTCACAACTTCAGTGCATGCCTCTACAAGATAGTCCTATTTTATCTCTTACTGTTAGCCATATCTTCTGATGATCTGCAAAGAAACATATCATGGTATGGCTACAATATGCCTATGTTTAGAAAATGCTTACTTGGCTGTATTTATTTAGGTACAGGCTATAAGCTTGGTCAACACTGACTGTGAATGTTTTTAGCAGCATTACCAGCTGAGTTGGCTGGTTGGGAACTCCTTTTTCTCACACCTAGGACAGCTGCCCACTCTTAAAGGGTCATGAGGGCACTGCCTTCAGCTGTTGAAAGAGCTGGAATGCAATGTCAAGCTCATTCCTCAGTAGCACCAGATCCACCCCAGCTGGAAAACAGTTTCTGAATGCTTTTCACCAGACACAACAGATTAATTCATAAGTTGTGTTCATGGGTTGGTTTTAGAAAGGGTGAAACAAAGAAGAAAAGAGTATTTTTTGTTTTATAGATAAGTCGAAAATCTTCCAAATGTTTGGTTCTCAAATATATATTCCAACTGACCTTTCAAAACAACTTCTAGCTCATCTCTTAAAATGTCAAAGTTACTATAACGGGAACTTGTCTCTGGGATGATGTTCTTCTTTAACCATCCTCCACAAGCAAACTGATAGAAATTTTCACAAGGTTCTGCTGTTGGATCCATGTCAGCAATGATTCGGGCAGCTGTTGAAAGGGAGAAGTAATGGCACAGAAAGAAAGAGAGTGAAAGGGAGAGAAATACAAACTATTAAAAACAGTATTTTTAAAAGAAGCACCCCAGGTCTGAATTGCTGATCATATAAAAGGAAAGAAATGTAACCTCATTGTTCTAAGATAGTAATTTTAATACACATTTTGCTAAACTGGGAGTTAGTACTGCACAGTTTGTTGGGACTAAGGGCCCTTCTGCACAGCCCTATAACCCAGAATATCAAGGCAGAAAATCCAGAAATATCTGCTTTTGATTGGGTTATCTGAGTCCACACTGCCATATATTCCTTTTCAAAACAGAACATGTGGGATTTTATTAAGTTGTGTGGAAGGGGCCTCAGTCCCACTAAAATTTGTGCAACCCTGACTTCCAAGTAAAGATGTATAGGATTGGGGCACATAGAAAATTTCAATCAAAATTATAACAACATAGCAGTTAACAGAATTAAAATATTTACATCTTTCCAGCATGGTCAGCATAATCAGTTTGCAGAAATCATTTCACAAACCCTTCAGAAATGAAGTTTATCAGACTGCATAAAGGACAAGGGCCCCATATCTTTAATAGTTCTAGATTCTAGAGCAGGAAGATATAGTGTAAAGCTCAATATGAAATTAACTTTTCCAACCCTGTAAACATCCTATGGCAACCTACCAGTAGGAGGACTGTCTTTTTGTGTAGGAACCTCCCTGTACATTATGATGGTGCATATACTTTTGAACATTAAAATTCACTGGAAGTTCCACAAGGGAAGAGGTTGATCATCCGGCAGTTGAATGAGACAGCTAAAGAAGTAGGGTGACCAGTAAAGGATCACTTGTCAATATTTAAGCTATAAACAACCTGCCCACACTTTTCCCCAGAGAATAATCGGAAAGACTATAAAGGCCAATAAGTGAAGAGATGAAAATATCCGAAAGACCAACGGGAAGCACATAGACATTTAATATTGCTTCTGAATGGTGCTAATGACTGCCGACATGTCATGCAGGAGTCAGATTTCTCACATGAACTTTGCCGCACATGAAAGATATTTCAAAGGTTTTTCCTTAGGTGACCCCAGGTTCTTCCCTGGATGCCCCCAAAAGTGAAGGAGTGACTCTGGTAAGGTATTTCGCCTTTCTTTGCAATCTCTTCCAGGTTTGGAGAAGGAAGAAAATCAGCTCATTAGTCAATGCATGTGTGTAAAGGGCACAAGATCCTGCTATTTTCTCAGGTCAATGAAAGTGTGGCTGATAATACAAGCTAGAATCCTATCTGCTAGGGAAGTTCAAAGTTACAATAGATGCTTGTGAGCACATGAGACTTTCTTTCTATCTGTCCTTTCTACAGGCCTCCATGCAACCTGATAATTCACTCCATGTGTTTGTTTCCAATTCTCAAAGCAGATTTTGAGGGTGCACAAAAAGCTGTAGGATGTTTTCCTCTCCCAGTTCTGCTTACAGAATCTGGAGTTCTTCTACAGGTTTTATTGTGTGGCTGTGTGTCTATTAGATCAGCCAGCTGTTTTTTTGTGTTTCTGTTTCAAATAATGCATTTTATGATCTTATGGTGTTAATTGTCCTGCTGATTTGTTAACTGTCCTAGGAGCAGCATATAATTGAATAATTCAATTAGCAGAGGAAATTCTAGCACTTTACCAGGAAAAATCCTATAAGATCCAAAACTCTGGCCAGGAAGAAATTCTGTAGCTCACTCTCAAATTATCAAGATGAAGATCTTCCTTTTGAATGCCCATACTCTTTAAAAATTACTGAGATAATGAAGAGAAATTATTTCAATTTTATTGCAATTCTCTCTCTGAAAATGTTTTTTTTACAAAAAAAATATCTGAGAACATATCCTTAATACCAATGGATTGTCCATCTACAGGACCATCATGTAATAAAATTAAAACACACATTGAAATGTCTGTCTAGCATTCTCCCCACAAAAGTCTTTCCTCTTCTCTCTTCAGAATTTGTAATGGAAGAGCAGGTTTTTTTTCTTGGAATGATAGCATTTTCCAATAGATAACCAGGAAGCTGGAAGAGGGAGGTTCATATTCCAATATTGGTAATGATACTGAAAATAGACCCACAATTTCATTATCTTCATACGGCTAAGATGTCACAACTTACAGTGCTAATAGAATTAGGCAGAATCTTATACAAACTACCTGCTCAACAGATGGAGCCATGCCAATTATTCAAATCTATCACAATTTCCATCCCACAACACTCCCAGGATGCAAGAACTAATAGGGCAGAGTTTGCCATCTCTAGCATTTGACTACAGTGCAACCCATGCTATTTGTAATTCTTCCTGAGTAATGGGGCTCCTGGAAAATTTCTATTTTTCAGCATCAGTTCCTAGTGCTAAAGTGGGCAATGGTTTTTCATTCTTGGGAACCTGGTGTTCTGTTCTATGGTATCATGCCAAAATTGGGGGTGATAAACAAGTATAAAAATGGTTAAAGTTAAAGGGATGGAACAAAACTAAACAGATGTGCATTTGTACAATGTGAAACTCTACAAGGGCTTCTGAGCTGAAGGAACTTCCCTGCTACTCAAAAGAGTCATAGAATCCTAGAGTTGGAAGAGACCACAAGAGTCATTCAATCCAAATCTATTTAGCAGGAATACACAATCAAAACATACATGATAGATGTTTAAAAACCTTCAGAGAAAAAGAATCCATCACACTCCGAGGCAGTGTATTGCACTCTCAAACAGCATTTATTATCAGAAAGTGCTTTTTAATATTTAGAGGTAATGTCTTTTCCTGCAGTTTGAATCCATTGCTCTATGTCCTGTCTCTGGGGCAAGATAAACTGCAAATCCCATAATTTTGCAGGATGGAACCATGGTAGTTAAAGTGTGGTCATAGTGCTATAATTCTGTAGTATGAAAGTGCCCCAGGTTGAAAATTGGTAAGCTACCGAATGTTTGGTTCAGAGGTTTCTGTAGTTCATAAACCCATAACTTCTCTCCTGGCTTATATAAGGCTGATGTAGTTGCTGTCCAAAAACATCTTGGGAGAACTACGTATTTTAGATTTTACAGTGAATTGCTCAGGTGACAATTCATAATATGCATCTGTTATTCATTTGCTCTTGTGATATATATATTTGGCTGATATGTTGTTCCTTTTAAAAAAAGTTTTAAACTTTTGGCTTTTTTTGAAAATAGATACTTTAATGGGGAGTTTGTGTTTCAGAAATGAATTCTTTATTACATTGAATGTTTCAATAACTGTTGGTTGGAAGCAGTCAAACTTAATGTGCTGTAAAATAATACTGGCCTTTTTATATAGAAAGAGAGCCAGAGTGCTCATAGGTAACTGTGAGCAAACTTGTCTCACAAATAGCAAAATGAGGAAAGATCTAGGGTGGATTTACTACAAGTGCCCATTCCAATTTAATAGCCATGGCAGCATCCTGCGGAATCCTGGCATTGGAAGTATAGGGAGGGACATTTGGCTTTCTTTGCCTCTATGTCCCTTGCCAGACTACCAACCACAGAATTTCATAGGATTGATCTATAGAAGGTAAACTGGTTGTGTTACAATTACAGTATCCAGTGTGAATGGGCTCTGCCCTTTCCCCTAATAGACAAAAAACCATAAAGTATTTCCATATGCAGTTTTATTTTTCTAGCAGCCAATTCTTCATCCAGTGAGGTGTCACATTCATTCATACTATAAATACTATTCTCTCTCTCTCTCTCTCTGGCTCTGATAATGGATAATGTAAAAAACAAAATAAAGAATATAAAAGAAATGAGAGAAATGGTAAAATAATATATGCAGCTTCTAAGCAATTCTCATATTAATACTTCTGACGCAGTTTCGAATTACCCATTTTAACTTTGTATTTGCTCTTACAGAGCCATTCTGCTGGGGTTTGGGAAGGGACCCGACAGCTCCATTGGAGCTCCTGCCATTTCTGAACCCTACTATCTTGTGCAGGGCAAGATGAGAAGTAGTGCATCTTCTGTTTCCTCACAATGGAATTATGTACATCAGTTGCTGGGATGATGTTGTTTTAGTCTCTGTTCCCCAGTGACAATCAGCTCTCAGACTGTTCTGTTTTAGGCTTGATAGAAATGACAAGATAGCCATAACAAAGAAATTTCTACTGGTGTACAGAGCTGACTTTTGGGAGCAAGTCCAGTTTCTAATGGGACATAGATTGCTTTCATTTTAACTGTTAATAGAAAAGGTAGAATTTTTTGGTGGTGGTGGTGGTGGGGGGGGGGAGTAATAGGTTCACCTTAGGGTTGTTATGAGTCAGAAATTACTTGAAGACTCAAAACAACAATAGAGAAAATATGGTTTATTTTAATGTGAGACTAACAATTTAATTTGGCCACGAATTATCACAGATGTACTCATATAAAACTGTTGTCATTTAGCTCAGTTCAATTCTTAGTTCCAGCTAAAGTAGACTGAGGACCTCATCACACTGAGGTTCTAATCTGTGGGGCAGTGGGGGAACCCATTGCCCCACACCCTACATCACCTGCTGCACATCCTTACCTCATCCCATGGAGGAAGCGTTACTGGCCAGCTTTCCCCTGCTCTTCCCTACGGAACACGGGAAGCCTCCCGTGTTCCCAGGGAAGTGTCCTACTGTGCTGTCAGGATGCTTCCTCCATGGAGACTCGCTGTAAATAGCTTTACATCATGTGATGGCATCCTGTGAGCTCTGAGGAGGAAGTGACCTGGCAGTGTAGTAGGACCCTGATTTTTCTAAATATGATGAGGTGATGAATCAATCATGGACTGGGGGGAAAGGCAGGATGATGAACATATTGCACTAGGGGATGTTGTGTAGTTTTAATTGAACTGTTTTTAAGAATGCTGTCTTTTTAAATTTAATTTTTATTGAATTGTTTTAACATTGTAACTCACTTGATTCTATTTTAATATTTACTCTTGTTTGTTTTTAATCTCCTGAGCCACTTCGTGTTATACTCTTGGAAAAAAACAG